CTAATTCACATTCTACCGATTTTAATCGGTCGCAAAATTCCCATAGGAGATACAAATTGGACAAATACCCTAAGGTTAATTCAAATAACTTTACTTTGTTTATCAAGTTATTGTTCAAATGATACTCCTTTTTATTTGACGACATTGATAGCAGAATACTTAAATAACTTTCAATTGTTATACCCTCGAGCATCATTTATTCCAAAGATGCATTACATGTTGCATCTTCCATCGCAAATGATTGCCTATGGACCTTTAAGACACCAATGGTGTATGCGCTTCGAGGGTAAAAATGGTTACTTTGCAAGTAAAAAATATAAAAATTTCAAAAACTTAGCTAAATCAATGGCATCAAAACACCAACTATACATGGCGTATATGCAAATTGATCAAAATGGAGAAAGATCCGCGAACTTCCTATATGGAGGTGATGAAGTAAAAGAAGGTTCTGAAATAAACTTTTCAGATTTGTACGAACATTTAGTTCCAAAACTAGAGGAATTGACCAGTCACTCTGTTGATGTTGTATACATGTGTGATTCAGTTTCAATCCATGGACATGAATACAGACAAGGATGTTGTCTTGTTCTGGAGTATGTTGATGATGAACCCATTTTTGCTATTCTAGAAGCAGTTGTCATAGTCAACCATGATAAATATTTCATAGTTGAAATGACTACCACCGAATATAATATCCACATCTTATCTTATATTCTGGCGAAATCAGGCATTAGGGATATTTTTGCATACCCTGCTTTACAATTCAAATGGCCTTTAAATGTTTATAAATATGGTGACCAAAATTGTGTTATGAATACAAATACTCACACATATGCTTTGCCATTCTAAAAACACAAGCTGTAAGAAAGTATATGGAACTGGGGAGAGATAGAACTTGAACCAAAACGAAATTTTATCAAAACGACTAATTGTATATTTATGTAATATAGGTTTAAGTTTTACAACTGACGTTTTTTATTGTTATTGTTTTAATTATAAACGATTTTCATAATAATTAGCATATATTTCAAAGTTTGATGCATTTATTGATGCGTTATCTATGTTCTGTCCATTCGAACTCTTGCATATACACACGTCTTCTGTATACGTTACGTATATGGATATATGTACTTTAGTGGTAGTTTCGGTGATAATTTCTTGAAAGTAATAATATATTTTTCAAAAGTATCACATCAAAATGTCTGTGTTTAAACTGTGGGATGCATCAAGAGTGAATAAGAAATTCATTGTCGCTTCAACACTTAAAGAATTGATTGAAAAGGGTAGGTATTCAATTACATTATTATCACTTTAACATAAAACATACAAAAATGGAAAGTCTTAAGCCGAAAATGGATTTCATTTTAAATTCTACTTATCTATCTTAATTATTACATCTACATATTGTAATTTTATAAATGTACTATACAAATGAAAGTTTTTTGTAAGATAATGTAACGCATTTTTCTAGGTAAAACGAAATTTAACTGTGATGCAACTTATAATTACACTGTTGTCTTGCAAGAGGATGGTACAGTTGTTGATGAAGATGAGATCTTGGCTCAAATAAAGGACCACACGTTACAACTACTCGCTGAAAACGAGACATGGTGCTATGCAGAAACTCTTTGCCGACTACAAGTGGTGAGCTACAATACTATTAAAAATATAGTTCAAACTACAATTGACCTTATGATAAACTGGAAAGGATATCGCACAGCTGATTGACGTTATATATTTCGAAAACCAGAAGTCAAAACTCAATGTTGTTAATTTACTGTAACATTTAAGTATTTAGTGTTATCTAAATTGTATTTACCTCTCCTCAATCGTAAATACATATGAGTGCTTGTCACTGCCATATCATAATTCGGAATTTTACATCGGGACACTTCCGAATACATGTTCTGTCAACATGTGAAGTTTGGTGACGGATCAGTCCAGTACTTTACGCGTGCACAGATTACAAACAGACAGACTTTCAACTTTATATATATATATAGATAAAAACTATTTCTTTTCATTTTTTATATAGCAACAGGTATAAAAGATGACATCGATAATATAACACTACCAACTTATAGTCCATTGGTGGCTAAGTATCTTGAAGACCCTGGTCCAGGTCAGATATCTGTTCCTGAGAGAGTCTGGAGTTTAATGATATCAGAAACGGCTAATTACTACTTGGTCAAATTTCCCAACATCGGAGATCAATCACATTATAGATCCATTGGCAATAAAATGTATCATCGATATCCATGTATATGATTAGATGGTAAGAACCCATGGGTAAGTACTAGATATTGTCAATTTCCTCCACTTTAAACTGCTCTTATTGCTGTTTTTACCGAATGAACCAGTATTTGTCATAGTGTTAAAACGGTTAGCGAGTATTACTAACTGTCTTAACATGAAAACGTGTTACTCAGGCAGGGGCCGCTGAGCGGTATCTGAGCTGGGGGGCTAACCGGAAAAAATTTTGAATTCTCAAACCAATTTCAACCAGATTCAAGTCAGCCCCCCTTTGATCAATGAATTTTTTTTTTAAAAAATAGGTCGCTGAAAAGTGGGGTGGGCTAAAGCCCCCCTAGCCCCTCCCCCCCTGCTCCGCGGTCCCTACAGGTTTATTATCACTGTAAAAACAGTCGACCACACGATGTGTGTGTTAGTTAGTTTAACATCTGCTGCCAGCTTAATGATGTTGCAGACTGGCATTTTTGCCAATAAGGATGAATTTTGCCAAGTTAGCGGCACATGACGTACTCTTACAACCGATTTTTAACTGTCGATGTGTCTTCAAAGTGATCTGCCTAATGAACACGGGAATCCGTTTTCCGTTTCCTTCGATAGATTAGAACTCTTTTTCATGTCAGCCCTCATCTGACAAGGAGGAACCCAGTCGGATAGATCCACAAGGTTGACCTCGACCTGACCGGGATGCGAACCCGGGTCCTCCACCATGAGAGGCAAGCGTCCTTACCACTCGACCACACCCGGCCCCCAGAGAATTACAAAATATCTACGGACACATAAAATAGCGACTGCTCCACTGAACACCTGGCGGTAACAATTGAGCATACAAACGACATTCTCAAATTCAACACATTATCCATGAAATCCGACCCGAAAACGAATGCCAGCTTAACCCTCTCAACACTATTTCTGACTCATTTTCTTTTATTTTGCAGTCGGCATTCAACAAAAGCCTGTCACAAAAAATAAGACATATCCGCTTAAGTTTGAAAGTCAAAAGTGGTGAATTACCTCAACATAATCAAACCAAAAAGAGGTGTATGTTTAACCTAACATCTAGCAGTAGGCCTTCAAATGAAAACGACAAACCGGCGACTACAAAAGAAGACATTGACAGGCATATTATAGAAATGAGGAAGGAACTAGGAAAAACCAAACCAAACGACAGTCATTTAGCCCAACTATTTAAAATTACAAGACCAGACCGCACGGAAATGATTTCTAAATTGGATGTAACACCACGCATGATTTTTGAAAAGTACCCTTGTCTCAAGGATGGTTCGTATGTAAGTTAAGTTATAGATTTATTTATATCAAGTTGGAAACCAATTAATATTCCGGGCGATTTCTGTCTGTCAGTGGTGTGACAAGAAATGGCATGGGAACTTCAGATGATAGACCGGTACAAATTGGCAGCGCACGTTAAAGATATCGAGGCCGTTGGAATTCGATAAAGTGTAAGAAAGAAATACCACTGTCTATGCACAATTTCGCACATTGCACTCAATCATGTATGTCCGAATATAACTCAATCACTTGCCGGGTTGATACAAATCTCAATTCATATCATTTCGACACCAGTTGCTTATATTCCAACATTCTTTAACGTTAGCGTGGGTGAGGGGAGTGTACCATATGAGTGTTGACAGATTGGAAAATCCAGATGATCTTTCCCCGAACAGGGATCAATCCCACGACCTCCTGGTTAGCGAGCAAGCACCGTACTCACTGAGCCATCGCGGCTCCGGTTAACGTCTAATATACAGCTAGATGATTTGTTCAATGACAGAACAATGAGTGATTAGTTGGACGTATTAATATCTTACGCCATCTAATCTACTCGGAGACAAAATATCAGCAAAGTCTCTGTTTTATTGACCTCTGACGACTCTGTTTTGTTGTTTCAGATTCTTAAAGAATTGTCACTTGCAGTTGGCAAAACCCGCATAAGAAGGATTTCACACAATCTCAAGTCACTAATGATGAGTGTTGAGGAACTAGGAAATAAGTAATAAATTATACAGTTCGTGTACTTGAAATAAACCAAAGTCCCGTGTGTAGATCAGCAGCGTACGTTGAAGATTTCGAGGCAGTTAGAATTTGAAGATGAGTAAGCAAAAATGTCCCATATTGCACTCAATAATCACAAAACCTTGACTTGTTTGTCCCAATATAAACCTGCCAGGCGTTGAATTGGCCATGAGCAGTAACCCATTTCATTTCCATTGTAATTATCATATACCATACGTAAACATTGTATCATTACTGTGTCTATTTCCTAGGATCCAATGAGAATGATGGAAGCGGTTAAATAAATAGAGAAACACACACAATGACATCAAGGCTCTAAAACCAAAGTAAATTCCATAATAACTGTAAATAATGTAAGTATTGAATTGTAGTTTTGGACAATGTCTACTTTGAATAAAATATTACCTGACCTGAGCTTTGTAAGCTTGAAATATTTTAAGTGTCTATCAGTTATTTAGTTTTGGTGGCTTCAAACATGTTTTCAAAATCGGTCAATTAATTTTAGTGCTAAATGAGAATTAACACAAAAAATGCAAATCCAATATGTATCGTTAGAGTTACCAGTATACAGCTAAAGATATGCTATAAAACAAATGCTTGTCGGAATTGGCCATGAGCAGTAACCCATTTCATTTCCATTGTAATTATCATATACCATACGTAAACATTGTATCATTACTGTGTCTATTTCCTAGGATCCAATGAGAATGATGGAAGCGGTTAAATAAATAGAGAAACACACACAATGACATCAAGGCTCTAAAACCAAAGTAAATTCCATAATAACCGTAAATAATGTAAGTATTGAATTGTAGTTTTGGACAATGTCTACTTTGAATAAAATATTACCTGACCTGAGCTTTGTAAGCTTGAAATATTTTAAGTGTCTATCAGTTATTTAGTTTTGGTGGCTTCAAACATGTTTTCAAAATCGGTCAATTAATTTTAGTGCTAAATGAGAATTAACACAAAAAATGCAAATCCAATATGTATCGTTAGAGTTACCGGTATACAGCTAAAGATATGCTATAAAACAAATGCTTGTCGGAAAAATTCCTGTTCATTGGTCATCACTTCATCATGCAGGAAATAAACTCAAGTCTTCATAATTTTCCGGAACAACCCGCCGCTATGCAAAATTGTCGGGAAGAAGTAATTTGTCGGGAAAAATGTTACCCCCCCCCCCCCCCGTCACAGAAATCAATGGACGGTGTACAGCTATTTGTCTACGAATATGGACTATTTTTGTAATATATTTCCATTCTCATACCCATCGGTTTTCTATCCTAAGGATATATGAAACCGATGGTTACGAGAATTTATATTTTGAGGTTTGAGGTTAAATCTTAATATTGTAATAGGCTTATTAATCGAGTTTACAATATAAGAAAATATAATTCTCACTTTAAAATAGGAAATGTGAAGTACCTATGTGTCCTTTATGAATTTAAAGTTGTATTATTTGTGTATTATTTCAGGATGTATTGGAGAGTGATATCGCCGCAGTATTAAATACAAAGGAACTGGAAGCACCACGTATACACATTTTTTCAACTGAAAGTGAACTTCAAGGAATATTTATTGCTTTTGATTCCGTGTTTTCGTCAATAGCAAAAGCGGGAGGTGTAATGGCTGCGGTATTAAAATTATTGGCAACATATTATATGTTTGATTTAGAGTATCCAAAACCCTTTTCGATGGTACTGGGGATAATGCAAACCTTTGTAATGGAGGAGCCGTACAAAAAGGAAACCAGTAAAAAATATAAAACATTTATAAAATCACTGAGAAGTATATATAACAAATACCCAAATTATCAAGAGTAACATGTATACATGTATATGTATTATTAAATACATTTATCTATATTTCTAATTGTTTTTATTTAAATTTAGCCAAGAAGACCGTTTCTTTGATTTCAGAACAGGTCGTGTTCACAATATCCACCAGAACACTATTGTGGTGTTCTAAATCTGTTACATCCGTCCAATGTGTCCAAAGTGTTCTCAGTGGGGGTCTTTAGAACACACGCAAGGCGTTCTGAGAGTAGAACAGTAATGTTTTCTACTAGAACACATACCGTTTACAATACAGAACACTATGTTCTCTGACAGATCACAGGTGTTCTGCAAGCCTTGAGAACACATATGACGTGTTCATTATCTGTTACATTTGTGTGTTCTGAAAGGCCATTTTATGTGTTCATTTTTGGAACACTATGTTTAGAGTGTAGCAAGTTTTAGACAGTAATCAATTAAAACTTGTTGTTTGAACAGTTCATGTGTGTTTCCTTCATATGGTGCCATTTATTACGGTTTGTTATGTAACACTTTTTGTGGTAAAGTTTTATTCTCGACAGTTTGATTATTTTGGGCCGACCCCTGTCTTTCCAATGTCGGCAGTGTGAGTCGGTCACAGGTTGTTTCTAACGAAATATAAAAGGATTGATCATTTCAAATAAATTGGTTCAGATAAATAAAGTTTTAGAAAACTTATGAAATGATTTTTCTTGTTATTTAGACAATGTTTTAAAATAAAACTGTTCTGGGTATAAAAGTTTGATGAAAGCCTTCCCCCTCTCTGCATGCGGCCATATTTATTCTTCAAAACGATGGCGTGATCATTTAATACGTCCTGCATTAAGCTTATTAGTGACAATGACAATATAGGCTATTAAAAAGATTAGCATTGTCAAAAGGATGTCTAATAATTCAAATCATCTATTTGAATAATTATCTTATGGTTTATTAGCCTTTATTCATACAATAGAGGAATTTGCATGCACTTAAAACATCAAAACTAAGTTTTAAAAATTACACACGAATAGTCTGAATATGTACGGATAGTGCAGACAGATAGCCGAATATCAAAATATGCCCCGAGTTTCAACACTATGCGTAACAATATAATTACACTTTAAACAGAGCTCCAAACTGGACCAAATATGTTTATTTAACGTTACGTCATGATTCACGATTTTAGATTTGATTGAACTGGAAGAATAGACACAACTCCCTCAAATTGGACCAAATATGTTTATATAACGTTACGTCATGACTCACGATTTTAGATTTGATTGAACTGGAAGAATAGACACACTCCCTCAAATGTGCAAGTATCAGAAGCCAGTCCAGCAATGGCAAGAGAGGGATTTTTCGGGCTATTGCTTCAGGAATATGAACATACAGCAGTTAAGTCATTCTGGCAGTCAATAAAAGTTGACCCATTGTGAATCTTTAGTTGAGTATAAAGAGAGAAAGAAATGGGGTTTAACGTCCAGTTGACACAAACTAGGTCATTTCGGGACTAACATATGGTTTAATTTTATTTACATAATTCGCTTGCGCATAGGGGTCTTTAGCAGTGGGAGGAAACCGGAGGACCCGAAGAAAACCCACAAGGTTGATCAGGCGACCCTACTCCTTGTCACGTACAACCTGGGAATCGAAACCATGCCAGTTGACTCAATGACAGACTTTATGATACAGCGCGCACACGCTAACCATTCAGCCATCCTAACCCAGTCAGTTGAGTAAAAAGCAATTTGTTTATACTGTACATCACTTGTGCTTTGATAAGATTCTATGACACAATGAACGACAATAATTGTCAGAAATTGTTAGAATAGAATTATTCATTTCACTAGTCTGAACAGTGCATACCAATTTCAAGCAAACTGGGTTATAACATTTATTGACAGTGCAAGCACAAGATTCTAAAAAGTTATCAAAGGCAATAACTCTGGAATTTATGATAAAACACTTAAATTCAAAGATCATTTGGCTCTGTAAAGAACACATTAATTTTAAATAGATCAAGGTATAAATGCAGTCTGTAGGTAGAGTGTTTACAAGAAATTGTGGATGAAAGAAAAGCACAAATAAATGTATCCTCTAATAATCTCCTAACAAGCTATGTTTTGATTGTAAATAGGTTTTAAAAAAACCCAAATCTTTAACTATATCTGTATCATAATAATAACAGCAGTTGCCAGGCAAGATACACCCTCATTTTGCACGAGATGGATAGAGAAAAAGCTAAAAACAAAAGCGATTTTATGTCCTATCAGGGGCCATAATCCAGAAAGTTATGGTCTGAAATGCACAATATCAAAAGGGACTGAGATCTTTGGGATATAAAGATATATTTTAAGTTTCATCAAAATCGGCTAAAAATTGTAACCTCTAGAGGGTCCACAAACTTCGTATTATATACTTCTACACAATTTGCGTACAAAGAGCAGCCATTTTGTCTGGCAGTTTCATTTCGATTTTCCCAAAATTTAAATTTAACCTCCATAATGGTGGAATGGTGATATATTTAATTGCTTTTTAAAATCGGATAAAAATGCTACTTTTCGAACAATCAGGGGCCATATTCAAGGAAGTAACGTTCGGATATGCGCGATTATCCAAAGGAACCAAGATCTTTGTGATATAAACATAATTGTAAAGTTTCATCAAAATCTGATAAAAATTGTGGCCTCTAGACAGTCCACAACCTTGAAATACCATATTTTTACCCTATTTGCATACTAGGGGCGGCCATTATGTCCAGCGGTTTTGGTCCAATTTTCACAAAATTCGAACTCAACAATCATTAGTGTGTAACGATGATATATTCACAAGTATTTTGAAATCGGATAAAATTTCAGACTTCTACGGGGGACCACAAGCTAAAAACACGATTTATCGTACAATCAAGGGCCATAATTCCGGAAGTTACGATCCGATATGTGCGAATATCGAAAGGGTTATAAACATGTAATTTTAAGTTTCATCAAAATTGGATCAAAATTGTGACCTCTAGAGGATCCACAACCCTGATATACCAGATGTTTACACTATTTGCGTACGAGGTGCGGCTATTCTGTCCTGCAGTTTTTGTCCGATTTTCATGAAATACAAACTCAGCCGTCCTTACGGTGTAACGGTGATATATTCACACATTTCTTTTTTAAATCGGATAATAATTGTTACCTGTACAGGTACCACAGGCTAAAAACGCGATTTTTTTGTACAATCAAGGGCCATAATTCAAGCAGTTGCGATCCGATATGCGCAAATATCGAAAGGAACCTAAGATCTTTGGGTTATAAACATGCATTTCAAGTTTCATCAAATTCGGGTAAAAATTGTGACCTCTAGAGTGTCCACAAGCTAAAAACGTGATTTTTCGTACAATCAAGGGCCATAATCTATGAAGTTATGGTCCGATACATACCAATATCGAAAGGAAACAAGACCTTTCAGAGATAGACCTATATTACAAGTTTCGTCAAAATCAGATAAAAATTGTGACCTGTAGAGTATCGACAAACAAACTGAGGTCAGACAGATGGAGAGGGGTGATGGCATAATACGTCCACGTAAAAATGTGGATGTATAAAAATATAGTACAATCGATCCTAAACGGCAATGAAATTCCGTAAATACAAAAAACTCAAATTGCAAATTAGTTTAATGATAATGTTTGATAGTGAAAAGAATCATTGTCGAAATTCTGTTCTTATTAAATCCTATGTGTCTTTAAAAGATAGGTTGCCAGGCAACGAAACATACGCTCACAGCAGCTAAATCGTCCGAGCGGTCGACAAGGGTTGTCGCATATTTATTCCTTTGTAGGTAATTGGGGGCCTTTACAAGACAGTTCCATACAGATTAGATTATAATTTTTGTCGTTTGAGGGTTCACAAGGTTCTACAAACTGAAACAAGGGTCTCTACAGAAGTTATTGAAATTTGACAGGCTTTTTCGTTTTACTAATTTAAATGATGCATATAAATTTCATACAGATCGGATGATCACTTTTGTCATTCAAATTCAAACATTCACAAGGTTCACAAAGTAAAACAAGGGCAATAACTCTAGAAATTGACGGAAATTGCTGAAATTCAATAGACCTCTGTTCCACAAATTTAAATGATGCATATAAATTTCATACATATCGGATGATAACGTTCATCAATCGAGCATTAACAAGGTTGAACAAAGTGAAACAAAAGCCATAACTCTAGAAGTAATTATTGTAAATTGCTGAAATACTATAGGCTTCTTCGTTTCCCAAATTTAAATAATGCATTTAAATTTCACAAAGATGGGATGATAACTTTTGGTGAATTAGCGTCCACAAGGTTCAACAAAGTTAAACAAGGGCCATAACTCTAGATGTAATGAACAGAAATTATTGAAATTAAATAGGCTTCTCCATCTCACTGTAAACCACATACATCAATTTTAAAACAATCGGATAATAACAAGAAATTGTGGATGATGGACGGGTGGACGGCAATATACGTCCACATTTCAATGTGGGCACATAAAAAGGCTTAAAAAAAGGATATAAAAAAGAAAAGAACCCGTTAACAAATATTCAACTGATGACATAAAATAATATCCGATTAACTCATATGTCATAGGCATGAACATTTGGCTATTTCTATGGGTGTGGTACAATATCTTCAATTTTTCAACATGTAATGAATAATAATGATGTTATTGTGGTATAACGAGTACACATATAATTATAATAGTTGTAATTAATTAATAACTGAATATAGTTAACATATAAGTATGATGAGTAATTATAATAATAACTCTAACCTTTTCACTGAATCCAGATTTTTTCTGTATTTTGGATCCGACTGAGTAAAAAGCTGGAATGAGATCGGGAGGACAGTCGGCATAATACTGACAGGCTGTAACTGGGGACTCGTGGATATCCATAGGATACGGGTTTTCAAAGCATGGGTAACTGAAATTATATACAACGCTTTTACACATTTCAATGGAATAAAACTCATTACTTTCAACAATTTTAATCCATCCTCTAAGAGTTTTTGATGTAAATTATAAGGTCAAAATAATATTGCGGAATGAAAGATACATTAGAAACCTACATACTTCATCTAAATTTCTGAACTGAATATCTTTCTTTGTGCATATAACTTACTGATCATTCTAATTATCCCATCAGATTTATACCATACAATTATCTGTACAGATTTATTATAAACAAAAAATATAGGGATCACTCTGCTAGAAATGTTATCAAAATACATAAATAATTTGCTTCAATTGTGCCTTCATTTCTGTGAATAAAGAAGGTCAAAATACCAATAATTGTAGCTGAATAAAATACACACCATTTGCTTCATGATTCCAAACAGTTCAAATAATTGCACATTTGTTTATTGATTTTTGCTATTAATGGCCTAATACATGTGAAAATTCCTATACTGTAACAAGACAAAATCACACCATTTGAATTATTAGCGGTTTATTCAAAATATTGTAATAAATGAAACATTACTTGACTTTACTGACATTTCTTTTTTAGATATTAAGTTTATGTCGGTGTGAGAATTGTGTCTAAAATGGATTTTTCTTTTTATTATTAATTTCTAAAGTAGACCCAGAAATATTCAATAACATAAAATTCCACACCAGAAATAATATTTCCATGGTTTTGATCAATTATAGACTCTATTTCTGTTTTGTAATAGTGTACACAGGCATTTTAGATTATTTCATTTAAATTATTTACCCTTGCGTTGTCAGATCTACAACAACCAAGTCATTTTGCAGCAGCACAACAATAGCGTAAGGATCCTGGAAATCTGTAAAAGATTTAAACATTTTTATAATAGATTGTCAGCACATTAATTTAAATGTAAGAATATGCAAACAGGGATAATAAATTAATGTTGTGTAATTGTTTTAATAACCGTTTAATGGAATTATACTCATAGCTTGCAGTAATCATTCTGTCACAAACATTATGTATTAATAATCAAGGTGTTAAATTTCTTTAAAACTTCGAATTAAACAAGATATTGATTTAATGATAAGGTCAATAGAAAAGAGTACATATTTTACAGACAAATACATATAAACCACAATTACAGAGCATAAAATATTTATATTATTGATTGATTCAATCTAGTTTACACAGCTCTAAACCCAATCTGATTAAAACACAGATCCTATTTCGCTTCGTTTTTTATAGTTTAAAATTTTGTTTTGTCTTTACTACACTATGATCTGGAAGAGTTGTTATATAACCCACATTCTGAATAATGTGAGGGATTAGCCAAAGAAACGGTCTGTTATGGCATGTTTTTGGAGTGAGGTACACAGAACTATTGTAACCCACTAGAAACATCAATGCTGATTGGTTAATCATATGTCTGATGTCATAGAGTCAAAAGTCGGTTGTATGACATCTGACGCGACCTCCCACTGCAACTTGTCAGATATTCATGTAGTAATAGGCCATCGAAAGTATAAAAAAAAACAAAAAAAAAAAACAGAACAAAATACAGATCTGTATTTTAAACAGATTGCTCTAAAACCTTATAAGCCTGATAACATAATTGTCTAATTATATAATTACCATTAGCCCAGGGTGTCTCACAAAGAACAACAAAATCAACAACATTATGTTCCATTTCTAATACAGTGGTACTCTTGCCATTCATGACAGTAATACATGGGGTTCGACCAGCTCTGTCATATGACATACCACCAGAAAATATGATAAGACCTTCACTGAAATACAGAAAAATGCACATTTAGACGAGGTAAATGCTTCAGCAAATTCCATTAGGTATAATGAAGCTAGATATAAGTTTGCTTCAATACTTATTGTGGAAAAGTTCTGAGAGACTACACTGATCATTAAAAATCATCTGTAAACTGAACTCAAACACTAGCCCTTTCTGCAAACTATGTTGGGTCAAAGCTAGATATGCAAGATAGTCCCTACACTCTCAATTGTCAACATAAAAAATTGATAAGACTCCTTTCACATTTTAACCTCACAATACTTCTTAAATAGACTTAACAAGTCTGTAAATACCAGGAAACACATAGTCTAACTTACCCTCCATTTCTAACAGATTTCCAGTCTATTTTAGTTATAGGTTTACAAGGGTCAGGCTTTCCATCTTTACCAATTTTAGCTACAAAATATGGATTGAGGAAACTTATAATACAAATGACTAGTACTAGTAGCTTTAACTATGAAATGAAATGGGGTTTAACGTCCTACTGTTCTGCTCCTAAACTGGGCTAATGAAGACGGGCATACGCCATACAGTGTGCTATGGGGGAAATTTTCCTACTCTTATTTCGAATTCCAACTGCCAAGTGATCTTTTACGTGCACGCCAATATGTACATGGGACCTCGGTTTTTCGTACCATCCGAACGACTATACAGATGTCCTTGTCAGGCCCTCCATCCTGCATCACTGACAAGGGAGAACCATGCCGGAAAATCTGGATGAACTTTCTCGGCCAATGCAGGGATCGAACACCCAACCTAGCGTGATCCCCCTTTAACTATGACCTTTTAAATAATCAGCAACATTTCAACTACAACCTTTTTCATTTTTTTTTTTTTTTTTTTAAATCAGAATGTGTGTTGATCACAGCCTGTTATTGAAAGCATTCAACAAAAGTTATCAACTTTGAAAATCGGAAATAGGAAAAAATTCTATTCATTCTGCCAGTGAAAAGTACAAGTATTACTATTATCTTAAATTTTGTATCAATTGGAATTAGTTACCCCCCTGATTATATTAATTTCCAATGCATTAAAAAAAAAACTTCCTAAAATTCAATGATTGACAATAAAAGGGTCTACTATTCAAATATAGTCTACAGTAATAAATGCCAGCGTCTACTCTTGGGTTCAGAATGGTCATCATTCTTTCGAAACTTTTATCTCCAGACAAGTCATATATCACAAACATATTGAAATTAACAACCTGCAGAAAGTGTGCTAAATATTCATCTATTACAACATTGTAGGTGTTGCTAGGAATCAGAAAAGAATTTCATTAACCAGGAATATTGTATTAAGTATCTCTGATAAAAAATCAATTTGAAATGTACAGAAATTTATCTCCCTCAGGATTTATCACATTCCTTAACTTAAGTAAATATTCATAATGTGCAATAGTTGCCAATTCTTTTCTTTTTAAAAACAAGCCAACGGTGAGACTGGTGTCCCCCGCCAAATTGAAAAAGTAACACATTTCTTAATTGCATATTCATCTTTCATAAAGCATCTATCATTTAGGTTATCTGTGATTGATGTAATGCCAAGTTTCACCATTCTCACTCAAATAGAATCAAAATTGTTGAGCTTCAAGTCTCAATCAATCAAATTGCTTATTACTCTACTTAACCTGATCAGAAAAATGTGTATAAAATCAAAAATCTTAGTCAAGATATTGATGTAATGAAACTATACACCAAGTTTCGTCACTGACTTAATCAGAAGCAAAAAGTTATCGTGTCGCAAAGCATCAACCAATCAAATTGCGTAACTCTGCTATGCCTCAGCAGAAAATGTTCATCATCGAACTCAGTCAAGGCATTCACTTAATAAACACCTACACCAAGTTTGAAAATTCTTTGCTGGAAGGATCTCTTTAATGGTGCACCTGTCCCAAAATAAAATTACTTTTATTGTCTCCAAATATCATCTAAAACTCGGTTCAAGTACGGCATATTATCAGCTACTTCCGTTTCTTTTCCATCAAAGTGTCATTTAACTGTATTGGTTGAAAATTGTGTCCTGATTATTTCTTGACTAATCAAAACCACTGTCTTATGTTTTTTTTCTTTTAATTCTTGCATTGGGTCGTGATACGTGATCTAAAATGGCAACGCCCTTGTAAACTGGTAAACTGGAATCACAAGGCTCAAAATGGATTTTGCTGGCGATTTGCATCGAAAGAATTGTGCACATCTATTGTCAAAAACAAATTAATTAATAATCAAGCTATATACCGTGTGGCAGCATAACATTTGTTGGTTTCTGTGGTGTTTTGAAGCCCCATGTGGTCAGACTTCCATCTGAATGACTGCACATAAACTGTTTGCCTTCATGTTGCCATGCTATCGAGCGGAGGGCCTAAAAGTACATTCAAATAATATGACACTATTTATAGCCTTATAGCCTCATCATCATCTAATATTGTTAATAGTTTCATTCAATCAATACCCTAAACACTGACAATATTTTCCTTATTTTTCACATAATCTTAGATATGTGAGTTTGGCACACACTTAATATTTTCTCCATCATAATCAGAGGAAACTCTTAAAAATATTAATCAGATATTTCTATACTGGTAGTATACATTAAGATAAACGACTTTCTTTTTTTCTTTTTTTAACTATTTTTCCATCAACAAAATTTTTTTTAATATCAGTTTACTGACTCATTTAACAGGACAGTGACTCAGTATAACATCTAATTATTGTTTATACTAAAAACATATCTAGATAATTTTATATTATTACTCACCTCTGGTGTAGGGAATCTATGTTCAGCTATTTTAGTTTTTAAATCCCAAAGTACCACAGCACCAGATTCAAAACCAATTAAAAGCTAAAAAAGTAAGATATTGATTGCAAGTAACAGTTCAATTAAATCTGTTACTTTATACACTCTTTACAAATATAGTCACTAAGTATTGGAGTAATAATGTAATTTTATGTTGTTAAACAACAATTATAAAATGGCAAGCATATCATCAATATTCCAATATCTGTTAAATAATATTATTTTTTACAGCTTGTGTCAATTTAGCTAGGAATTAAACACAAAAAGAAAAGTTTTTGCAACAAAAAGAGTAATAATTCTAGGATCAACAACAAAGGGGCAAGCAATTATTTCCGAGCATGAGGATGAAGAAAGCATATTTTATTGAAGTAATACACAGGGTAAGCCACGATAGTTGTAATGACTTATTGATTGACTTGTTGCTAGACTATCAGTAGCAGGAGGAAAAGACAAGAGAAAACACATCTTTCAAATTTATCGTTTAAGATTTTAGGCTCACATCACTAGCCCCATCAGCTAATAAATAATATTGATTAGAATTAAATTCTAACAAAAGCAAACTATTACAGTTTATAATACTCATGAATCAAACTATCCTTGTCATAGTATCAATATGTTTACAATTTTCACTTTATCTAAGGACGTCTCTTCAGAATAAGCACTCCTGTAACTTCTCAAACAAACATTTACTTGCTCATGGTGGGGGTAAAAGACTGTTCAGTCTGTTACCTTTTGTGGAATAAAATATGTATGTATTGAAATTACACTTCTAGAAAATGCATTTCTTTTAAATTGTTGGTCTCCTAAAATATTTACAATATTTATTTGTAGACTAAAATAAGGTTTTAATTGTTACACATGCAATGCAATGAGATGGAATGAAAATTCTGCTGGGACATAACCATCTCCACATACAGTTTTTCAGATTTCAACTGTCAAGGGACTTTAGATTTCCATCATTTCAGAAAAAAGAGATGTACATGTATGGCCCATGATAGCATATCACTCATTTAAATCATCATCTTTGTATACACAACAATTTACCTTGCTAGAATCAACGGGATTATCACTAAGGTGAACAACAGGACCAGGATGGGTTTTACGAGATCTGCCAAAATAAAGTCAAAGATGTGTAAGACAAGTACTTGTTAGCTTTCTGTCTTGATCGATCATTTAGTAAAATAAATTTAATTTGTTTCAGAACATCTTAGAAACGGTATGCAACATATATGATGTAGGCAGATATGTAATATTTATAGCTCGTCTGTAAAAAAATACATTTAGGTTAGAGGACTATAAAATTCTTAGTAGTTTCTATTTTGAGGTATTATATGCATTCAATTCAATAATATGCCGATTAAATATTAATAGACAATATTGGCAAAGTCAGGTATCTCGATTAAATGTGGAGAAAAAACTACATGTAATTTTACACTTACAATTCAATTGCTTTATTCCAATTTATAACATAGCCAGAAAGGATGAAAGACTCTATATTAACTAAATGGACATTTCCCCTTTCTGTTCCTATATACAACCATTTACTTTGAAAAGGGAGATGACAATATGTTATTCTGAAAAAGAAAGAATAGATTTAAGGATGATGACCTGTAGATGTTTTCTGTAATATTTTGTAAAGATTAGTCACATGGTGTTGACAACAGACTTTTTTATTTCTACATTTATGGTTTGTTGTCAACTTCTGAAGTACTGGTATATCCTGAATTGTCTAAAAGTAATATATATTTAAATCTTTATCAAAGAAACATTTAAAGTATTCTGCAACACCTGCAATGCACATTGGCTACTTCACTATGGTAACAGAACCCTGCTTCAAGAGTTCAAGAACTGAATTTTCCAAAATAATATAAAGGGGAATGAGGTAGCATTTACCCAAATAATATGAGTGTAGACTTGATTACCCAGAAATTTGTCTGAATTTTGATTGGGTTCCTCAATAAAACTACCCCTAAAACCCCTGCAAGCTTGAAAATGTTTTTTCAATATTAAGGGCGTGAAAAATCATTACTACTTAGGGCTAGCTAAAGAAAGGAACCAGTACAGTTTTAGTATGAAATGTGGACAGATAGATGGAGAGCCAAACAAACAGGGGTTATAACAATTATAATACTCCCTTGTAAAATGTGTAACTGCCTGAATTATGACCCCCCGATTGTACGAAAAATAGCATTTTAGCTTGTGGTCCCTCTAGAGGTCACAATTATTATCCGATTTAAAAAAAACCTTTGAATATATCACCGTTAACCTGTAATGATGCTTGAGTTCGAATTTCGTGAAAATCGGACCAAAACTGCCAGACAAAATGGCCGCCCCTCATACGCAAATAGTGTAAATATATTGTATATCAAGGTTGTGGAACCTCTAGAAGTCACAATTTATAAGCCAAAGATCGTTTCGTAACTTCCTGAATTATGGCCCTTTATTGTACGAAAAATAGCTTTTTGCTTAGCATGTTCTCTATCCATCTCTTGCAAAATGTGTGTGTATCCTGCCTGGCAGCCGCTGGTTGTATTAATCTTCTAAATTACTATTTAATGAATATTTTTTAAAATTGAAACTTTAAACATACATTATGCAAGAGGTAAATCTGCCTATTGCAGATCTTTCTTTAGGCCTGAAATGTTTTCTAAATAATTAATTAGACATTGATTAACTTATCCAGGTCATAATCAACTCTCGACTGTATCAGATTTCTCCCGATATTAAATAGATTAGAACAGTTCAGTCATATTTTGATTTAAGCTAAAAATGGAGGTGCGAGACTCGGTTCGAACAATCCGTACGGTGGTTGAAATTATTGCTCACATCTTATCAAACCTTCAAAGGCTAAGGTACATGTATCTCTGGTTGGTCAGCATTAACTAAGTATTGTTGTGTACATATTTTCTGATCATATTATCATATTTTATCTTTACTTGATAATGACTATCAGTAATAAGCAGTAATTGTATTCCATAGAATTGTGACTTGTATACTCTAGTTCAATTACTAAATGCCATTGAAACAATTTATAAAGTGTGGGCATATAAGAACAAATCTTTATGGTTAAGGAAAACATCATGGCTATATATAGTCTATTTTATTAAAAGTATACAGCCAAAAATCAAGATCTTTAAAGACCACATAAGATGAAGAATCTAAATTGCATGTACGTATAGCCAATGGTTACTATATCCACTTTACGGCAAGTTCACACCAATCTGATTAAAATTAATTCGGCTGTTAACGTTTAAGTATCCAACACACCAAAACGCTTTTCAATTACAACCATAATCCGGTTGATTGGCTGGTGACGGCACAGGAACTACACATAGTATATACATCATCTATATAATATATCACTGTCTGTACAATATATCCCTGTCTATACACACCACTAGTTGACAGGTGTGTATTGACGGACAAATTAACATGTGACTGGCCTAATCATAATCACCAAATTATCGTCTTGCGTTGTTATACATTAGACATTTGTGATTGGAATTAGCACATTTACCGGCAATTTGGACAACCCCGTAATACTTGATATCCCAAACTATTCCCTAGAAATACAGAAATACAAATTGTGCCAGTCATTTGTCGATATATATAATAACAATAACCATTTCTATACACAAAGAATAACTTTTATCGTAACTCCATTTGAAATTCACAGCGAATATGGAATTTTCCAATGACTATGCATAACAATAGATCGCCCTCATTTCTCAGTCAATCAACGGCGGGAATCTTACTACCATGTACGGTTCTAGTGTTGTCACGATTACAAAATTCTTGAATCAGTTAATCGGCTAGCCAAAAATCGTATCGGTGCCGATTAATCGGATGCCGTATAAATTCTATAATAAAGTAAAATAAATGTTTCTTTCGTTGGCTAATAATGTCGTTGTCTGTACTGCGTTACAGGGGTTTTCCCTTGTGATTGTTGATATGTAGGGCTGGGTATCGATAGTGATTTTTACTATCGATAATCGGCAATGAAATGTTGGTCGATAATCGATAGTATCGAAAACAAACTTATTTTCATGGTCGTCATCAAGACTGGATACAGTGTAAGTTCAAAGTTCAAAACCATACGAAGTTGCGAAAGATCGTTTGCTCCTGTCTAAGGAGATTTATTTGGAAAACATTAATAAAACTTGTTATATCACGTATATATACGTAAATTGATGTTGTTTATTATTAAAATAATGCAGCCGTGGTTCCGAATGAAGAAATATCGTAAATAATTATGTTAAGGGACCAAAATAAACTTGTTCCGATTCAAAACATTGCGTACGTGCGCGCGAAAATATCAATATGGCAGACGAATTCTGAAGCTTGCAAAGGGAAATAACTCTAACTTTATTTACACATCCGGGTATCTCCGATTTAGCGATATTCAACAATAATTTCTTCAAAACTAAAGTAACGTTTCAATGAGAGTGAATTTATGAAAACGGCTGTTCAATAAGCAGTCAAAATTTTGTTATGTGTTACATTGATACTTGATAGTAATTAAAGTGAGCGGTGTATTATGATTATAGGACCTAAGTCCGTAACTCAAAATCCTCCAAAATCTTCGACATCGAAAACACGAATTATTGGTCAATTTAAATCAACATTGATGATGTCAACTTACCGGGAAAAGATGAGCTTCTGATATCCGATATTTAAGATAAAATAATTTTTTTAACATTGGTACACGAATCGTGTACCATAATGCGCTTCAGCCCCAGTTGTATTGAGAGACTCGAGGGACGAGGCTAGACACATTGCACCAAATCAAATGGAGTTATGTAGACTAGACTAGAACATTGGTACACGAATCGTGTACCATAATGCGCTTCAGTCCCAGTTGTATTGAGAGACTCGAGGGACGAGGCTAGACACATTGCACCAAATCAAATGGAGTTATGTAGACTAGAATAACTAGACGCTAGAAATTTGCACTCGATTGAGATTGCTGACTTATTTCGCCGAACATAACTGATTTGAAATTGGAGTAAAAACGGAAACCATTAAATGTAAATCAGTTTATATACATTCATATTACAGTATTATATGCGTTGCGACCCACTTTTGTGAATTTCTAGGTCCCAAATGTTAGCGATTTAGCACCTTTAACTAAAAGAAAACATTGACATTTCAGACGCAAGAAAAATATACAAAGAGCGATAATCGATAGTAACCCACCGCTATCGATAGTGCTTTTCTGGGCCGTCCAATTGATACTATCGATTTATATCGATATTTTATCCAGCCCTATTGATAAGCGTGAGCATTGAATAGCTGACCTTATATTATTTTAATACATTTCTTTGGGTTTGAGCTAAAGAGATGTTGGAATACATTTTTTAAATTGTCAATAAACAACATGTACCAAGTCATTAGTTTTGATATTTAGTTACGCATTGGACTGAGTAAGAGTAGACATCCCCGCGTTCTGACTTACCCCCACAGCTTTAACTGCTAATTAAAAATCCAATACTGGATTACAATTCACTAGTACAACAATTCCTGTACATAGTATTTTAACATATAGCAATAATCATATTGACGGAAAACAACAAGAGAACCCGCACAAGACGATACAAATAAAAAAAAAACATGTGTCTTTAAAAAAGGCGGCAACATGTGCCGAGGGAGGAGAAAAGAAGAGCCTCCTGACTGGTAATGTCCGGTTTGGGAACTGTTTATTCGCGTCTCGGACACAGTAACATCACATTCTGATTGTGAATTAAATAACAAAATACAACTGAATTTAAAATTGTAAGGGAATCTTTCGATTATATTGTTGGAGAATTGTCTTCTTTCAAAACTATTACTTTATCAAAATTACATTGGTAGTTTATCGCTTGTAAAAAGGCATCGCCAACTTCCCCGTCTCGTGCGGCATGCATTCAGTCCATGTATTATAAAGTTCCGTGATATTATCATGTCTGTTATTGGCGTACGTGTCTGTTGACAGCTATTTCGTGCCAAAATCAACCATTTTACACATTTCGTAGTAAGCCATTCCTAATATGGTAGGTGAAGAATTCCATGCGACATCGAGTTCGTGTCACTGTAAATGGGAATTTCTGTATTGAGCCTTAAAAGACGTAGTTTCAATACGGTTTTAATATGCAGCAATTCAGTAGTGTGTTAAGCAGACAGTAAAAGTCAAACATTATATGTAATTGTATCAATATAAATTGGATGAAACGACTACCGATTTTTCAAAATGTGAATCGGTTTGAGCTAAAAAAACCGAAACAACTACGACTAAACCGATTAATCTAGACAACCAATATACGGTTCCATGCATATTACGGGCATAGTAACTGAGGTTAAATTTTGGCGCGAAAATTGCATGGGATTCATGGACATGAATATCAAATACACATGATCATACATGGAGTTCCTGATGCCGTTTGGGGAGTGATTAAACTGTCAATATAATTGCAAAATACCTTTATTATTAAGAAGTGAAACGATGTTAGACATTATAACCTAATCTTATCACAACCGTTTATCCTTCTAATAATATATATTCTGATTTCATATCAAGTCAATACACCAATCAACAAAT